ATGTTTACTAATTGGTCTGCATATTTTCATACAGATGTTTACTAATTGGTCTGCATATTTTCATAGACATGTGTACTAATTGGCCTGCATATTTTCATACAGATGTGTACTAATTGGCCTGCATATTTTCATACAGATGTGTACGAAGTGGTCTGCATATTTTCATAGAGATGACTGTGTACTAATTGGTCTGCATATTTTCATACAGATGTGTACTAATTGGTCTGCATATTTTCATACAGATGTGTACTAATTGGTCTGCATATTTTATAGAGATGTGTACTAATTGGTCTGCATATTTTCATAGAGATGTGTACTAATTGGTCTGCATATTTTCATAGAGATGTGTACTAATTGGTCTGCATATTTTCATAGAGATGTGTACTAATTGGTCTGCATATTTTCATAGACATGTGTACTAATTGGTCTGCATATTTTCATAGACATGTGTACTAATTGGTCTGCATATTTTCATAGACATGTGTACTAATTGGTCTGCATATTTTCATAGACATGTGTACTAATTAGTCTGCATATTTTCATAGAGATGTGTTCTAATTGGTCTCTCGAACACAGGATTGAAGGTAACTCATATGGAAAACATCATTCTTAAATTGAAAAAGTATTGTATCATAATTTATTGCAAAACTTAAGAAACAACGTTGGATTATCCATGACAAGGGGGATATATCAAATTTCTGTACACATAGAGTTATCTTAAAGTCTACACACCTATCATGATATTGTCAAAGGGAGAAATGAGTGAACAAATAAACCTTAGATGTAATATTTACAAACTTTTCTAAATTGTCACGACTAGCTTTACTTAAAACATACAAAAATGTCACTAGACATGTCATATATTACAAATCTTATTCTAAACTGATAAACTTATTTTTGAAATGATAAACTTTACTTTATGAAGAGATAAACTTTATTTTCATACACTGAAAACACATGAGCTCATTACAAACAGGCGTATCAAAGCCATTATCCTCAATGATGGGAGAGGTTGACAGGTTAGAACTTACTTATTTTGATCAGGATTAAAATGTAGATAACAAATGAAACATAGAAAATAAATCCTGAAATCATTACAATAAAATTACAAAAAATAAAGAAAATCATGAATAGCGCATTTCATTGATTCTGTGGGATATAATTATGGCTTTTAAAAAAAATTGTTAAGCGCGGAGGAAGGTAGTCTAGTACTGGTGTGACTCTCCAGGATCGATGGTTAGGAAACTACCCGCCTATATGACTGAAATATAGGAAAAAGGTGTAAAATGAAACAAACAAACAAACAATTAAAAAAAATTTAACTCTGATGTCATTATTCATAAATTTTATCTCTTGTTTTTCTGCTGGTTGAAGCAACCTGTCTCCAGATTTATGTAAGATTTTCTAAAAACTAAAATATATTGTTGTAGTATTTAGTACTTTTGTTTATAATTGTACACATTTTATAGATTTAACTTAGCCGAATGGACTTTTTATCCAGAGAACTGACAATTATTAGTCAGATTATGCTGACACTTCACTTACTGTTGGTGATAAGATAGAATTTTTGTCAAATTTTGAAAAATACAAAGTTTCACTAAGGTTATGAATATTTTTACTTCATGAGCATATTGTGAAAAATGACCGTTTTCATTGAAAAGCCTCCTGTTACAAGTTCAAACCGCTATGAAACTATGAAAAATGCTTCAATACTGATGAAACTTGGCACAAATGTTAACTGGACCATAGCCTCAGTAACAACATGCTCCATCTTAAATTTCCTGTTACCACGGCAAAGGGGGGATGTCTCAAAATTGCCAAAAATTATTATTTTGCATTGTTTTTTTCCATCAAAACTGATTTCAAAGTGCTGCAGAGTAAAAGGCTTTTCAGCATTGGTTACAATCATGTTACCTTACGATAGACCTGAGGCCATTTTTAGCCTGTCACATCCAAAATTTTCTTGGCAATGAGGGGGGCTGCCACCCCCCTTCAAAACCCTGAAACAGAAAGGGGCACGTCTATTGAAATTGGAGACATTTCACTATGACCTTGGCCTAATGACCTAAGGGAGAGAGACTATGGGTGAATATACAGCAACCATTCCCAAAAATCAGGCTGGGCTTTATAGCTAGCAACATTAAAGCAGCATTCCTCAAGATGCATGCAAATTCTTATGAAAATTTGGAAATGTATTGAAAAGTAAAATATTGTAAAGTGAACAAAGAAAGTAATCTACACATTGCAAATGACACTTAAAAAATAAGTAACAAGAGCTGTCAGTAGGAGAACATGCTTGACTTTTCTCAAGTGCTTGATAATTCTGAGTTTATAGTTTCAAAAAGGGCCATAATTGTGTCAAAATCCATGTTAAAATTAGTATATGATCATGGACAGTTCTAAAACTGTATGCTGGACAAACCCAATTTAGAAATTCAGCAGGTTAAGGGTATAGGTTATATGGAATATTTTTGTTTTACTGGTGGTATAAGACTTCAGGTGTTATTACTTAAGGTGCAACCAGGTTTAACCAATGGCATCCTGGATAGCTTCATACCCATGGCTCTATGGAAGATTCACATTTAAGGTGCAATCTGGTAGAACTTAAATGACATGCTAGATAGCTTTCCCATGTGAAACTAGAAATGTGTCCATAGGACACGGATGCCCCCACACGCCACTGTTCTGTCAATCTTATGACTCTAGGTCAAATATTTTTTCGACTACATGTGCCACAAGTTGAAAACTAAAAATCAACAAAGGGCCATAATTCTGTTAAATTTGGTTGCAGCGAAAATTCCTTCCTTTACTGCCATCTACACATAAAGGTTGTTCATCCTTGGAAGTTTAAGCAAAATCTGCCATCCGGTTTAAGAGGAGTTGCATTCACAAAATTTCTAAATAGTATATAGTGAAAAAATCAACAAAGGGCCATAATTCTGTAAAATTTGGTCGCAGCAAAAATTCCTTCCTTTACTGCCATCTTCACCTTAAGGTTGTTCATCCCTGTAAGTTTAAGCAAAATCTGCCATGCGGTTTAAGAGGAGTTGCGTTCACAAAATTTCTACATAGTATATAGTGAAAAAATCAACAAAGGGCCATAATTCTGTTAAATTTGGTCGCAGCAAAAATTCCCTCCTTTACTACCATCTACACATTAAGGTTGTTCATCCCTGTAAGTTTAAGCAAAATCTGCCATGCGGTTTAAGAGGAGTTGCGTTCACAAAATTTCTACATAGTATATAGTGAAAAAATCAACAAAGGGCCATAATTCTGTTAAATTTGGTCGCAGCAAAAATTCCCTCCTTTACTACCATCTACACATTAAGGTTGTTCATCCCTGTAAGTTTAAGCAAAATCTGCCATGCTGTTTAAGAGGAGTTGCGTTCACAAAATTTCTAAATAGTATCTAGTGAAAAAATCAACAAAGAGCCATAATTCTGTTAAATTTGGTCGCAGCGAAAATTCCTTCCTTTACCACCATCTACACATTAAGGTTGTTCATCCCTGTAAGTTTAAGCAAAATCTGCCATCCGGTTTAAGAGGAGTTGCGTTCACAAGATTTCGGGACGTACGGACGGACTGACGGACGGACGGACGGACTGACTGACTGACGGACGGACGGACAAGTGCAACGCTATATGCTCCCACATTGTGGGGGCATAAAAATTCAAAGTGACTGACGGAATTCAATCCAGCAACAGCTAAGAACTAACAACTGTAACTCAACCAAAGCTTTAAGTTAGGAATTAGCTATCAAATGACTTCCTTAGTCAGTAAAAGCTAAAAAAAGTTGATTTCAATATTGTGTGTTTTAAGAATCAATAAATACTATATATACAAGACATGCCCACAGGCAGAATGTCGAGCCCTCTTGTCAAACATGAACATTTAAGCTTCAGATCAAGGCGAAAGATGTATACATAGGACTGGTGAGATGTGTGCAACACATCAACTTTATACCCAAGGCAAAATCTTGACACCTGAATTTTTCACACAACACTCTGCCTCCCTATGGAGAATATTTGTCTAAAGTTATATTAAAATCCCTCCATGCATGTAGAAGTTACACTCTGGACAAAGGTTTTGCACTGACCCCTAAGTGTGACCTTGACCTTTGAGTGGCAGACCTGGATTTTGTGTGCAACACATCACCCCATCATGGTGAACATAAATACCAAATTATTTTTAAATCCTTCAAAGAATGAGCAAGATATAGACCAGACAAATGCGGACGGACATGCGACAGAATAGAGATTAAGGGCCATTTCTATTGTTATTTTCTTTTCTTTAATAGAGGGCCATTGGCCCCTTCCTCTATTGTTACAGAATGAACTCTCTTTTCTCTTTTGTTCTGTTTACAGTCAGATAGCAACCTACCTCTATTGGTAGTGCGGGTGGACAACCAGAAGGATGGACGGATAAAGCAGCGACTATATGCTCACCCTTCGGAGACATTAAAATTAGCAGAATGAAATAAAGAAGAAAATTAAAATCATAAAAAAAGATGATGAGAAAATGTTAAAGACAACTAATGAAGAAACTTCAAAAATTAGAGAAAAACTAAACCCTCATATCCATAGAGCTGACTCATAATCTTTGTTTGTTTGTTTAGGGTTTTACGTTACATCGACACAGTATAGGTCATATCGCGACGTTCCAGGTTTATTGGTGGAGGAAGACCTCAGGTGCCCTTCCGTGCATTATTTCGGGCATGAACGGGCACCTGAGTAGAACTGTCGATGTTCCATAAGCTGACTCATTATCTATAAATGAGTCAAAACAAATTAAAACATGTTGAAAAGTTAAATCCGTTGTTAAATATTTTGACATTTGTTAATAATCTCATTAGTAGAAGTTTATAGTAACAAGTGCTATTCATAAATCTATTGTCTATAACATGAAAAGGTCTATAGATACCAATACACTCTACACCCATTTTAAACCTCTCAGTCTCAGTACTTCCTCATTTGAAATTTTTTAAAAACTACTAGATAGACACTACTGCATATTTTAAATAAAAAAAAACATGGCTCAATCCATTATAGACTTCAGTGCTTCATCTACACGGGACTCTGATGAAGTACAGGAAATGTTTTGTGAACATTGTGATAAACATGACAAGCAATATGTTCCTGCTGAAGGATTTTGTGAAGAGTGTTTCGAGTACTTGTGTGGGACCTGCCTTAAATTCCATAAAAGATATATGGTCTCTCATACCATTAAGGATAAGGATAACATGCCACAGGATTTCTGTCTGGAGAAATGTTCTGTTCATCAAGATGAATTAATCAAGTTTTATTGTCAAGCTTGCAAGAAATTTGCCTGTACTGAATGCAAGACTCAAGTCCATGGGAACTGTAGTATGGTCAGCCATTTGCCAGTCCTTGTTCCAGGGATTGAAAACAGCCAAGAAATTAAAGAACTCACTGAAAATCTTGATATCTTTATGAAAGATTTGGAAAATACAGAAAAACATTTGAAAATTAACATGAAATATGTCGCTTTACAAGAAACAAAGATATTAGATACAGTCAAGAAAAAAAAGAAAGAAATATTGTCAGTGTTTGACAAACATCAGAGAGATATAATTCAAAACTTTGAGAAGAAAATAGAAGAAACCTTACAAAATCTTAAAGAAGAGAAAAAAGAGAAAATTGACAAATTACAAAAAAATCAGAGGAAGTTAGAAAAGTTATTAAATGATGAGGAAAATGAAATTAAGAGGAAAATTGAAATCATAAAAAAGAAGGACAAGAAAGTTTTGCAGACAATCATTGAAGAAACCTCCAAAATGAAAACAAAACTAAACAGCATATCAACAAAGCTGGCTCATCATCAAAGTACAGATCGAAGATGTCAACTCTTTGTTGCTATGAAGAAGGGGCAAGAAATCATTGAACAAATGAAACCAGATGCAGATAAACAATGTAAAAATAATTCAATTCATTATTACAAAGTTGAATGCAAAGCTTCTGAACAAAATATAACCAATTTACAAGACTGTGACAAATTTTTCATCTATCAAGAAAAACATGAGTCTGAAGTACCAAGAACTGCAAGTTATTACATAGATATTAAATCCACATGTGATTTCCTGTCATCTTTATGCTTGTTAAAAAAAGACTGTCTTCTTATATGTAACAATAATTATTCAAAACTAATTATATTCAAGGATATGGCGGTCAGTACTACAACATACAATACAATAGACCTGCCTTCAAACCCTCAGGCTGTTGCTAAAGTTGACAATAACAAAGTTGCTATTACATTTTCTGACCTTGGAATAATAAAACTGATAACATTTTCTAAGTGTATTACAGTGACCAACACTGAAGACATAAAAGTAGGAGTAGACTGTCGTGGTGTTGCCTATAGTAACAACAAGCTTATAGTGTCTTACACAACCAGACCAGCAACAGTGAAGATACTTGATATGTCTGGTAAAGTATTGAAAACATTTGGCAAAGATCATAATGGGAAATATTTATTTGCTCATCCTCATTACTTAACAATCAGTGCAAACAACACAGTTATATATGTATCTGACTTGGGGAACAACTGTGTGATAGGTTTAACCTTTGATGGGAAAGTCAAGGCCATTTACAAGGATGACCAGTTGTTATGGCCACATCAACTGACTGTAGATAGGTCTGGAGCAGTGTTTGTATGTGGAAGTTTGTCACACAATATACATCAATTATCATCTGACCTGACCAAGGTGAAGATTGTAACGGATGAAGAACAAGGAATAAAAAGTCCAGCAGGTGTAGCATACTGCCAGAATAATAACAGATTGTATGTGAGTCACAGTGCTGATCACATTAAAGTGTATGATTTATCACTGGAATAAAACTATTTCTATCTGAATAGTCTGCAGAAAATACCAAAGTTTAAACTATTTTAATATAAAATTTTACTCCATGTTATTCTAATGCAGCTTGTGGATGATCAAACAAGCTCAGACTTTGTGCAATTATTTCAAGAAATATTTAATAAAGTGTATGATAAAGCTACTTCTATCTGAATAGCCTGCAGAAAATTCTTGAAAAATATTAAAGAATTTCATCCCATATTTCTTTAAATTGCAAAAGGATTATAATGATGATTTTTTTAAATAAACAAGAGCCACCGCTGGGCTGGGGCAACGCTCGACTTTTTCTAAAAGCAAATAAAGAAACGTTTGAACAAATCTTAATGTTTCCTTTTTTATAAATTTTAATAGGTCTGTCTTGTCACATAAGTTTCTTTCCATATATATCCGCATGTGTATTACAGAAGAAAAAAAAAAGAATGATTATATATATATATATTTTACTGTGAAATTTATAAAATGGGAAAATACTGAGACATAACTACATCTCTGGAAAATACAAAATTTCGGGTCTTTTTGTAAGCATTTATCTAAATGTTCACTTAAAGGTAATTGTCTTGTTGATGGGTCTCTGATCTGCTGAGCATGAACAGTTTTTCTGTTTCTAAGTTTGTCGCCTGTTTGGCCTATGTAAAATTCTTTGCAGCCGTTGCGAACTATAACATGTAAAACATTTTCAACAGTACTGACCATATTTCCAAACAGTGCCAGAAACAAGTAAGACATTTATATGACCCCATTAGCATAGTAAAAATCAGTTTCTGACTGGCTCAAACCCTAATACATTTATTTCAACATTTCGTTATCTCAATATTGTTTTACTGTCCTGATGATTTCCTGATAACTAGAGATGACTGTATCTTATAACCTCTTGATACAAGACAACTTGAATGTATTTTCCAATGCAAGTCAGTATAACTAAATAACTCCATTTTTGACACATGGAATGACAAGATTTAAACAAGTTCTTATAGAAGACCTCAAACTTATTCTACATAACACTACATGCAACATATCTTTGTTCCGAGCAAAATAGTTTAAGAAGAGAAGATTTTTTAAACATTTTTACCACAAAAGTCTGTGTAAATTACTTAACTCCCAGGGTGGAACCATTTAAATTGACCCAAGGGACATAATTTATAAATTATAAATTTGCTAAAAGCTTTTCCATACTTGAAAAATCTGTTGTGGCCCCAGGAAACATTTTATCCTTATTTTTTAAGAAGCTATTTAAGATATTTAAACACTTTCACTATTACAACATACAATGTAATTGCTTTAACATAATTGGCAGCTTAACATGTTTCAATAGGAGTGTTTATTTCTACCACCTGGTCAGACAAATTTAGATCTTACTGGTAGGTAATAGAAAACCCAATCAAATATACAATACACTTTAACTTTCATACATCTAACACTGATTTAACCACAGGTAAACGTTGCGTGGCCATGACTTACACTATACCCCCGTTCCCCCTCTACAACCCAAAACCCTAAAAAAAAATTATGAAAAAAAAAAATTTTTATGACTAAAATATTGTAAAGGTATTTTACTCTACTTTCATTTTGCATTGAAATATCACTAGCATCTCAATTATCAGCGCATATATTCATCAATTTTTCACCAATCTTAATAATCTTGGTCTCAAATCTTAGATAAATAAATACTCTTTAAGAAAACAACACTGGCACCTTCGCTGATTATACGTAGCAAGAAATATCCAAGCCCAAACTGTCAACAAATGAAACTCGGAAGAGATCTGATTGCACCGTTTCGGTAAAACTCTCACGAGTAAAACACACTAAATTCACCGTGAAAGAATATTTCTTTGTATTGCGTATTTAAATATGATAAAATTAAGTTATTATTTGTAATAATTGTTCAATCAAAGCATCATATGAAACTATAACGCACCTTTTTTCCTATATGTCAAATTCTCAATCCAAAATGAAAGTAAATTGGCACAGCAGAGTTGTTTCCCTTTAAGTATTTTCATTGGTCCGAGGTTTTCCTGTGACCAATGAAAATACTCCATTTGAAAACAATCTGCAGGCCCATTTTACTTTCATTTTGGAATGAGAATTTGACATATAGGAAAAAAGGTGCGTTATAGTTTCATAAGATGCTTTGATTGAACAATTATTATAAATAATAACTTAATTTTATCATATTTAAATACGCAATACAAAGAAATATTCTTTCACGGTGAATTTAGTGTGTTTTACTCGTGAGAGTTTTACCGAAACGGTGCAATCAGATCTCTTCCGAGTTTCATTTGTTGACAGTTTGGGCTTGGATATTTCTTGCTACGTATAATCAGCGAAGGTGCCAGTGTTGTTTTCTTAAAGAGTATTTATTTATCTAAGATTTGAGACCAAGATTATTTAGATTGGTGAAAAATTGATGAATATATGCGCTGATAATTGAGATGCTAGTGATATTTCAATGCAAAATGAAAGTAGAGTAAAATACCTTTACAATATTTTAGTCATAAAAAATTTTTTTTTTTTCATAATTTTTTTTTAGGGTTTTGGGTTGTAGAGGGGGAACGGGGGTATAGTGTAAGTCATGGCCACGCAACGTTTACCTGTGGATTTAACAAGCAGTTTGAAGATCATTGCCTCAGTGTGATATTGTGGTATTGGTGTGTTTTTTGTTTATTTATATGCAATTTCAGTCGTCACTCACTGACACAGGCAATTTATATTTTATATTTCAATGAAATTTAAGCTCAATAGGTACAGCGTTGGACTGAGAATCGGATGACCGTAGTTCAATGGACCTTTCCGTGTTTACAGTTTTATGTAAATTGGCTAACTTGTTATCCAATCGCTACACTGAGATAATACATAGTCACTGGTTGACCTGGTTTGCACAAAAGAACACGTGCTTATGTTTGTGATACTGTTTGTGAGCAGTTGACCTAGCAATGAATAGAAAAGGTGTAGCTAAATGTTCCGCCACGAAAAACCGGAAAGGTCCATTCCCGGACGGTGCAGGTCACTTTCGTTGTGATTGGTCATATAATCTTTTCTACCGTCATTTCCACTGTTCCTCTACTCTGGCATGTACAAAAGTTTCACTTCCTTGCGAAAGTGGAGGCAATTAATACTGGTAAACTGCTTGTCAGCCTGCCCAGGAACAATGCAGTGGCTGAACTTTGCTCTGGTAAATGCAATGTGGCTTTCAACTGTGATCCAGAGTGGAAACCCCAGAAATAACAGGAGCATGTAATTACAGCATTAAAGGGACTCCACTGAGGTTTTTTGACATGATGGGACTGAAAATATTTTTTTCCAGATAAATGTACCATTTGATGTAGGTGTGGACCATATTTGTGCAAACTTTCAGATCATTCGCGCACTTTGTTTTTCCATATTAATTATTCAAATTGTAAAAAAAATGACCCAAAATGAAAAGCGTTTAAACGCTTTTCACTCAAATTAGGCTAAGAAAAGCATAAAACTACGATTTTTGATTTATTTTAAAGTATATTTCTTAACTATCTTTGCATATAATTCTGTTTAAAGGGCCCAAGTTCATTTATGTAACTTGTAAGAAATTCTAATGTTATGTTTTTAGGCTTTTAAACCTCAGTGGAGTCCCTTTAAGGGGATCACAATGATATTGATCAACAAGAGCTGTCCATGAGACAGCAAACTCTACTATTGTAAATTATTGTCCGGAAGTGGCAATGATGGTCACTAACAAGTATTTAAAGTTTCAAGGCAAAACTTCAAATGGTATAGATATTAAGTGGTACAAAAAAACTTACTGGAAATTCTAAGTTGAAAAATGGCCATTATCTTATCAAAGTCCAGGGCAAAGTTATTTCCCTTACCTGGAAGTGGGGATGATGGTCACAAACAAGTATACAAAATTACTAAGCAATTCCTCAAAGCGTATAAGAAATGTGAGTGCAAAATCTATACATGTAACCTCTGAGCATTGCAGTTTTCCACAAAAAGATTAGATGTGCTTTCTTATACATGTGTATATCAATCTACATAAAGCACCTAACCCCAGGGAAAGGACAATTTTGAACTAAGTACATGGTTAATATAACTTTGTAGAAAACTTTAATTGATTCTAACAGAACACCAAATATCTAAGCTCTGAGCATTTAAAGAGTTAAAAAGATCAAGAGATGTTTATTACATAACTAAATAAACTATACCCCCAGGATGGGGCCAATTTTACCCCAGGGTCATGATTTATGTAACTCTTGAAGAGGTCAACTAAGGAATGCTTCATGCCAAATATCTAAGCTTTTGGCATTATAGTTTCACACAATACCACTTAAATCTATGTAGTTTCCAGGGGTGGGGCTAATATTGACCCAATATGATAAATATCAGAATCATGGTGGGCAATACTACATGCCAAATAACTAAGCTGAGCATTAAAGTTTCACACAATAAGACTTTCATGTGTTTTTCTATATAAGTTTTTTTCAAATTAAATGACCAGGCTAAGGTGCAAGTATCAACCATATGGACATGATTAATATAAGTTTTGTAGAAGTCCACAAGATAATGCTACAAGCCAAATATTTAAGCTCTGAAAATTGTAGTTTCCCACAATAAAACTTAACTGTGTTTTCCTATATAAAGTCTCAAAATCATATGACACCCTGGGCAGGGCCAATCTTGATCTGAGGAAACCCAAATGTAACATTTCTGCCAAATAGTTTTAATTTGCTTCTATGGGTTTAAAGGTACAGAGCAGACACAAAATTTTGAAACTCATATATAATTACTAAGTATGACCTTGACCTAAGGAAAGTCAAACATGAGCTCTGTACATCACCTCATTGTGGTTAACATATCTGCCAAGTTGTTTCAATTTTCAAGGTTCAAAGGATACAGAGTGGACATGAAATTGCTAACAGACAAGGACAGACAAGGTCATAGCAAATTGTCTTACTTGTTTCTGGCTGTATTTGGAAATACTAACTTTTTCTATCCCGGCATTATGCGAGGGC